ATATATATATATATATATAGCATCGTATTTCTTGTGAGGTATCCTACTATATATAAAAAAATAGTGTCTGTGTGTGTGTCTGTGTGCATTTGCATGCAAACTTCCCAACAGGTTGTCTCCAATCGTATCTCAAGAAGGGAGAGTAGTTAGGGGCATGTTTGATACGACATTAGGAGCTGTAATGGATGGAGACTGACTGCACATATGAGATTTATCAAATCGCCTGTTTTCGACATTAAATTTCAGTTTTTGTTGCAAAATTCGAGACCCTCTTTGTTAGGAATCAATTAGCATACACCGAGGCTTACGGGTAGCCTATATAAAAGGAGCAGAGCGCATTTTCACTTTTTCCGCGTGTGTCGGGGGAATTGTAGCGTAAAGCGTAACTTCATTGGTGAAAAACGGGCTTTTCAACCCTGGTTTTAACCTAAATTAGATCTGGCAGCTTGCCACATCGCCCAATGAATTTATTTTTCAGGGAATTTTCTACCAATTTTTGCATTAGAAATAACAACTTCAAAGCTTATCGTTTGAAGGATTTTGCGAAATTTTCAAAAGTCAGCTAACAGCCGTATAAATGCTTCCCAATCCGCCCTTTTTGCCCCAAAAATCCCGATTTTTGCGGGATTCGAAGAGGTGAACATAAGAACAGGCTCTATTAGACGAGATACCGGCCCGGTTCTCCGGGTTTTTCTCTGCCGGATTACCGGGGCGGGAGGGGGGTGAAAGGTCAACTGGAGGGAGAAAACAAAGAACGTGTTCTGGATTTTTAGAGAATGTTGAAGGGGAAGGGGAGGGGAGAAGCGCAAAGAATCGACCCTTGCTATTCATTGGGTCTCGACTACTACGTGACATGACAAATGACGCAGAAAATGGTGTCTCTAGTACAGCTTTAACCTGAATCGCAAGAGAGGTATTAGGGAAGTAAGCCAGTAAGTAAGGTAAGGAAGGTAATTCACCTTACCGCAGCATCATCCAAATTCTCGAATCCGACCGAAACCTTGCCCGTGTAGTAGTTGACGGTACGGTAGCCCTGTAGTACGTTTTAGTTTTCGCTACGAATCTTAAAATTACCTGAACGGCCGTAAAGAGTATCGCCCCGAAAAGGGGAAACCGCAGTCGCATCGGTTCGGTTTAATTGAGGGTGGCCCGCGTTTGAAGGCTAGAAAAAACACGCTTTCAACCTCAATAAATAATAACGTATTATGAAGAAAGGATTACGGTAGGTAACAAATGACATATCACATAGATACCCAAGATTTTCGTGAAAGTTGGCTTCCAAGATCCTTTAAAAATTCCGAATCGATCGTCTTGCCGGGAAAAGCCGGAAAGAACGAAATTCCGCCAAGTTTTTTGCCGGCCGCAATCTGGCAGCAAGATCGCGTTTCTAGGAAACATGCCTAACGGGCTTTAGCACTTGCTAGGAAACGCCGAAATTTCGATTCCGCAGAAAGAATGAGCAAAAAAGCGGAAATATCTTCGATTTCATTATGAAACTTTTAGAGATAGCAGAGCTCATTTCGACATGTCTCGTGGATTTAAAGAGCCTAAGAAATCAGGAATTGATTGATGCATGCGCGGTTGGCAAACGGCCCGAAACCTGCTATTAAGCCTCGTATTGATGTAGACAAATACAAAAACGGATATTCCAGCTATTTTTGGCGCTTTCCACAGCTACGGTAGCTTAACAAAATGCAACAAATCCTTTTTAAGATAAAAACCAGGGTTGAAAAGCCGCTTCGCGACTTTTCAACCCTGGCCTCGTCTAACCCCACAATATTTTTCAATCTGCATACGTCTCACGAATCTCGATGGAAAAAAAACGGAAAAATGACACTATTTACCTGATTATATAGGCTACCGCCACTTCCGCTGTATGCTAATTGTTTCCTAACAAAGAGGGTCCCCGAAATTTTTACAAAAACTGAAATTTTATGTTGAAAACAATTAATTTTGCAAAATCTGATAAGCGTGCAGTCATCCCAGAGCCATTACTCATCTAACGACGTATCATATATACCTTAAAATTTATTCCCTATCGAGATATCCTCCGGGCATGGTGACGGAAGTTGCATGCAAAGTATCACACACACACACACACAAACACTATTTTTTTATATATAGTAGGATTAAGAAACTGAGAACACCGGTGGTGCAAGTTCTAGTTTGTAGTTTAGGTTATAATTTCCGCAAGGTGTAGAGAAGCGCAAAAAGTAACCAATAAAACAAAAATAGAATCAAAATCAATCGATTAAGACTGTCTAACTAACGCAAAGTAATAGTAAGTATGAAATCGTAGTAACGGTAGCAAGTACGCTGCAATGCTTGAAGTGATTTCAATCTTTAAGTTATTACTACTCTAATAAAACATAGTAATCTTAATGAAATACCGTAACCTAATGAAGTGTAACACTTTCCAATTAGCGACCTTTAAAGTAATATAAGGTATACTGACAGAATATTACTACTCTAATCAATATAGAATTGGAATGATACTAATGAAAAGCCTCAGCTTCCGCCAGTGCAGCCTCGGCACAGCCAATCGCCCAGGCAGGAAGGTGGGAGAATCAAAAGAAGCCGGCTCTAACCGCTTCATTCGCTTCCCCTCTAGTTGGGAGGAGGCAGGGTTTACGCAAGGAACGAGAATTAGCGAAATTTTTTCGGGTTCTGTTTTCGGGCTGGCCGGACGGGGAGGGGAAACCGGGATTCCGGTCCGACACCCCCGAGCACATAGCAGCCATCTTATAGAGCCGGTAACACACCACCGGCCGCCTGAAATGCCGGAAATCTGCCGGCAGATAGTCCAGAAAAAGAGGGTGTACAAAGCCGATTTGATTAGCTCGGCTTACGAGTGCCGGTGGGGAGGACGAGATTTGGATGGACACTGTACTACTCTTTTTTACGGGGAGGCGGTCAAAAACTTGAAAATTCAATTTTCATGTGGCCGAAAATCAATTTTTTTTACTGATACTTTGGAGTTTTTTTTCTGCAAATTTCTGCAAAAGAAGTCCATTATATGTGCTACGTGAGACAATATTCCCAAAGAATCTTTGCTAGCATCCGGAGAAATCGGCGGACGGTAACGCCTATCCAATTTTAAAGCACTGAAAAGTCTGTGAGGCGGAACCAAGCATGCAAGCTGTGGTCACCGAAAAAATGACGCATGTGTCTTCTTCCATCTTGTTTCCTCCTGTTGAGGGAAAGCCGCGCTTGCACGCTACCGCGAACAGGCAATTTCGACCTGTGTAATTGACCGCCGTCCGCCCCTTGAGTACTCCAAAAAAAGGCAGAGCCGAAATTTCAAGAGCAAAGCTGAACGCTTGCTTGTAAAAACGGGGAACCGCTGGCCCCAAGCGCTAGGGGAAATCCACCACTTCCGAATGCCTCCAAATTCCAGTCATTACGACCGATTATGCCCGGACTCAATTGCTACGTTGATGCATCGTTGATTGGATCCTGGAAAGATCGAATCCGCGGCTTGTTTCACGATAAAAACAGCGTGTGGGAATTTCGATGGGCTAATTGCGGGCAGCCGTCAGTCATCAAGTTCGCTGCGGGCTATGTCGTAGGTGATGAACGGCGAACGGATGAATGTTCGCATGGCACACGAAATCAGCCCACAGACGACAAGCCGGAACCAAATACGATGAAAACTGACCCGATTAACACTAAAGTTTCTCAGAAATCGTCCATTTTTCTTAGACAATAAAAATAATCGGAGCTTTTGAGCCAATGCAGAAGCTTTCAAGGCCAAAATCTCCGGATAGGACTTTTCTATCCCTCAGCCTAACAAGTTCGCATACTTCTATATTTTAAAATATATAATAAGGATTTTTGAACCAAAATCGCTTCGTTACTGGCTGCGTATTCAATTTTGAAACCTTTCTCCAAGTTTTCTAACCAGTTTTTCCCCGGTAAGATTGCTGGAGCCTTCTTTACTCGATAGTTTGCATGGATTATTTGTAATACATGAAATTTTTAGAAATCGCAAAGTACTAAAAGTTTCAATTTTCACTTCCGCGAAAAGGATGCTGACTCTGCCTAACACCCCTAAAAATGAACGAGTTTAGGTACAATTACACTCGTTTCATCACCACAAGGTTCCTTGAACCTTAATCGATCGATATACAGGGTGTCCCAATAAAAAAGGTCACGCTGGCATTTTGTCATTTCAAATCCGATCGACTTGAAATTTTGAACAGAGCTGGGGAAGGGAATTTAAAATGTTCACAGAAACTTTCACCCCGATCGGTACAGTAGTTTTGGAGTTATAGCAAAAATAAACTTTATTTTGCGTTTATAACCTGGATTTCGCCGGAATTGAGTCTTGGAATGTATCGCAAAAATGACTCGCCGACCCTCTTTTACCTCAGAAAATTTTTTATTTCGTAAAATTCGTCTTGGAAATAAGTTATTTAAGTAATTTTAACAAGGTGTTATCATATGTATATATTATATGTTAAGAAGAATGAGGGATTTGGGGTCAAAATTGATGTTAATTGATGCAAAGTCCAAAAAGATAGCCGAACAAATGAAGCAAAAGTGTTGAAAAAACAGTATTTTTGCTATAACTCGAGACATACTGCACCGATCGGGCTGAAAGTTTCTGTTACCATTCTAAATTCCCTTCCGCGGCTATGTTCCAAATTTCAGGTCGATCAGATTTGAAATGGCGAAATGCCAGCGTGACCTTTTTTATTGGGACACCCTGTATATATTTATTTTGTTGTAAATTTTTCATTTTACAACCCTTTTTGTTTGAAAACTTCTTATTTTCGTCGACAGCCGGCCGGGCTGGGGCGTGAGGCGTGTCGCCTAACCTGCGCCCCATCGACCGTATCTACCCCTCGAGAGACGCAGAGGGCCTTCCCGGCCGCTCCCAGATTTTCGGCCTAAATTGCCTCGCGAATTTTTTCGTTTCGCGCCGATGTCTGTTTTTTGCTTTCCATGCCCGTTTTCATATTTTTGCTCCTTCTAACTTACTTTTTTCAGGTAATACACAGGCAGAATGCTGATCTACAAGGATGTCTTCACCGGTCAGTTTTTATCTATGGAGAATAGGTGGGCCTGTCTGCTCTCGTACTCCCGCTATCCTTAAGCATGAAAGCTTGTGCCTTGGCTCACGTTGTGTTTAACGTTTTGTTGCTCGCAAACGGGAGCCCTGGCGCGATAGTTTTTGTGCGAGTTAACGGCGGAAAATCAGTGCTCGTTGATTTCAACATCTTTGAGTTAGGCAGGCCTTCGCTATTGCTTTGAGAGGGTTTCATTGAGCGTACATTTTCAGGTGACGAGCTCGCCTCGGACTCCTTCCCAATGAAGCTGGTCGACGACCTGATCTTCGAGTTCAAGGGACGCCACGTCGTGCGAAAGGAGGTAAATATTCGGACCGGTTTCAATTATTCTTGTTTAGGGAGAGATCATCCTTGCCGGCTCCAATCCCTCGGCTGAAGGAGAAGACGGTGATGATGGCGTCGACGATTCTGCCGTCCAACGTGGCCTCGACCCGTGCTCAACCACAACCTCGTCGAAATGAACTGCTACGAGGATGCCTCCATTTTCAAGGCCTACATCAAGGGATTCATGAAGAAGGTAAATAAGTTTAACTCAATATTCTGTTTCTCGCGTCGGTTTTCTAAGAGTCTTGGACTCTTTTGCGGTGTCGCGATTCTTACGAATTTGGGTATACGCATGATGCCGTTTATTTCTTTAGCGTATAGAAATCCGGCTTGCTAACTAGGCGTATCGCAGCAGAGATCGTTTATCATCCTTTGCTAATTTTTGCTTTTCAGGTTATCGACCACATGACCGGAGCCGGCAAGCCCGAGGCCGAGATCAACGAATTCAAGAAGAAGATCCAAGCCTGGGTCGTCGGTCTGCTCGCCAAGGACAAGTTCAAGACCCTCTCCTTCTACGTCGGAGAGCGACAAGCCGAGGGCAACGGCGAAGGACAAGTGTGCATCGTCGAATACCGTGACGTTGATGGCGAGGAGGTCCCCACCCTGTTGCTGGTCAAGCAGGCGCTGGAGGAGGAGAAGTGCTAAAAAAACTAAACCATTTCATCACGTTGTGATTTCATGCTCCATGTTGTCTGTTGGGTCGCTTTTTCTCTTTCACCGAGTGCAAGGCATTTTTGTCTTGAAATTTTACAGTCATATCTGTCATTCGGATCGTCATCCATGTTTTCGCCCTAACTTATCAGCGTTGAAGAAAATAAAATGCGATTGGTTGTTTTACATTGTTGGACTTTATCGGATGGGTTTTCAACCCAGGAATATTTAACTTGATTTGCATTATCGTGACTTACCTTAATACTTATTCAGGGTTTAAAATGGCCAAGCGCACCAAGAAGGTCGGCATCGTCGGAAAGTACGGCACCCGCTATGGCGCCTCTTTGAGGAAAATGGCCAAGAAGCTAGAGGTATTTTCGGGTTCCCCATTTGCAACTTTGTTTTTTTGAGACGACCCAACACTCGAAGTACACGTGCGCCTTCTGCGGAAAGGAAGCAATGAAGAGGTCGGCCGTCGGAATCTGGGAATGCTCGAAGTGCCACAAGGTAAGCTTTTAAATTTTTTGTCGGTCGGCCTGGTTTTTGGCGTGGTGATTGGGTAGCCCGGTTGATGAAAATTATGCTTCTTTTGCGTAGAATCTTTTTAAATTCTTCACTCAATATTGGAATTTGCAAGCCGGGCAACTTGCTTACTATAGTGTTGTTCTGGCCTCATTCAATCGTTCTCTTTTCCAGAAGGTCGCTGGAGGAGCCTACGTCTACAGCACCGTCACTGCTGCCACCATCAGATCAACCATCCGTCGCCTGCGGGATCTCAAGGAGTAATGCGTCGCCGTTGTTGTTAATTGTTTATCGGAATAAATGACTATGTACCTGTTTTATTACGAAAAAGCATTGCAGTGACAAGTTAGGAACTCATTTTTTGCGGGTTTGCGTTTTGGAGATTTCATTTGGCTTTTGAAACAATGAGTTTCAGCTGAGTTAGGTCTTTTCCTTGAGCGGGATGTTAGATTCTTGCGGGCTTGGTTTGATGTTTTGTTGTGTGTGAGGGGGTTCCGTTTCTCGCGCCGCGTCGGGCAACTATTGATTGTATCTGCACTTGACTCTGCGAACACAATTGAGGACACAAGCGCGCATTCGGCCCGTGTTTGAACTTTCGTTCCGCTCCGTGCGCCCTAAAATTTCCCTAGAATACTTGATTTAAAGTTATGCTTCGAGCGGCCGCCGCCGAGCGAAACCAGGGCCCGATTGCTGAAGTACTGAAGCAATACTTGAAGGGAAAGCTGAAAGTGGGCTTGACATTTACAGTATTTTTTACCAATCTGTTTAGTTGCTCGAAATCGCGTCCGGCACCGGCCAACATCTCGCCCATTTTGCTGAAGTATTTCCGGAGGTGGACTTCCAGCCGTCGGAATGTGAGCCCCGCTCGATTCACTCGATCGTCGCCTATGTGGATCATTTGAAGGTAGGAATTTGTTTCTCTGCAGCTTTGGAAGTCCGAAAGCCGTCAACTTTTGTGTTTTTTTTAGTTGGCCAACTTTCGCGTCCCACTCTTCGTCGACGTGAGCAAGAAACCAGGGCAATGGGCGCTACCCGACGATTACGCGCCGCAGAAGGTTGACGTCGTCTACAGCGCCAACATGATTCACATCAGCAGCAACGCGGCGGTCAGCGGGTTATTTGAGGTACACTTTTTAGCACTAAAAGAGCTATTTTTGGCAACTCTTTTTGCCTATTGGCCGGAAACCATAAGTTAATTTGTGACATACATACATAATACTCATAATAAAGGATGGAAAGTTCTAGATTGCGACTTCTAGGCCTTGTCGTATTTAACCAAAAAGCTGGCGTATTCCGTTCTAGGCTCTAGGGCTTCTATTCCTATCTCGAAATAGCCTGGTTTGTAAGTAACTTACAATTTTCAGGCAGCCGGATACCTGCTAAAGCCCGACACCGGCCTGCTGATCACCTACGGCCCTTATGCAAAAGACGGCAAGATCAGTCCACAAGTAAGGAAGTTCTGTTTTTTCTTGACGTGTACTTTCAGAGTAACATCGACTTTGACGCCAGCTTGAAGGAGCGGAATGCCGAATGGGGGCTGCGAGATATCAGCTATTTGAAAAAGGTAATTATCTTCTGGCTTTCTTGTAGTACTTTTACTTCAGGTCGCCGCTGACAATGGGTTGCAGTTCGAGCACATGCACGACATGCCGGCCAACAACAATATTTTGGTATTCAGGAAAATTAGGTGATTGAAGCTTTTAAGTTTTTTTTTGCTTGATTTTATTCTATTTTTCACAATCACTGCCCACTTATTCTTTTTTTGTACTTTCAAAATGTAGTTTTAGCTGTTTTTAAAGCCTTCTAAAAGTTCTTACTATATGTTAAAATAAAATCTTTGGTAAGCCGGAAATGTACCTTTTTACCTTTTTGCTTGTGCACAGACATTTTCGACATTCCCAAATTTGCCATTTGCCAGTATTGTGCTTGGTAACAATCGTGGTCGTATCGAATAAATATTTTGCAGGAAATCGTGATGAGTTTCCAGCATTGTATTACAACACTCGCGCCACCACCCACCTTCGGGCACATTTACAGCCGGCACACCTAGTGTTTGGCAGCGCTTTGCAGATACCTGCGCACACCCACTTTATCACGCCGACCGCGCGCGCCTGTTTGGTTGTCGGGGGTTGGGTCGCGCACACCTGGGCGCCGTTGATGTGGCTGAGGGTGATCGGTAATGGATTTGTTGGCCGGATGATTTCTCGATTTCTAGGCTTGATCGAATGGGTTCAGCAGCAAGATTGGCGAGCTGCTATGCTTCGCAGGGGACGTCTTTTGCGTTAGATGAAGCTGCTGGGTGGGACGAACGGAAAAAGGGCGCCATAAATTTAGGGAGAATTCATTTATGTTGTTAAAGTTAGAAGTATAACTTGTGAGTCTCCCTTGCACACAATTGATTTAAAAGTGTTTTAACAGTTCGGGTTAGAGCCAAATTGACGCCATAATAACCATTAAATAATAAGCATTTTTGACAGGTAAACGTGAGAACACGCCTTCCGTTAGCTATCACCTTACAGCCCTCAACACCCTCTCTCTACTGGCCCCCTACCAGCTGACTATTCGTGTCGTCGCGACGAGGTGCATTCCCCGCCGGCCACCCACCCCGCCCCACAAATAAACTGTTGTTTAGAGGGGTGTTCCCTTTGGCCAAGGATTTTGTTGTTTGCGGCCTCTAGGCTATCTGTCGTCTCGCCGTCATGTTTTTCGGTAGACGATTGGTTACAATAATTTTTTTCCGTGGCTTTTTATCTGTTTAACCTGCTTGAAGAAGTAGTGTTTCGTGTTTCTGAATTTTTTTGATTGCTTATTATGGGTGATAGACTCATTTTTACTTTTCAGCCCATATAACTAAAAAAAATGATGATTTACTAGTTTTGCCGTGTAATGTTTAAATTCTACGGCCGTTTTGACTAGTTTCAGGGTTTAAATTGTCAACCGGCTTGCTGCGGTCTGCGTTTGAAAGCTCTAAATCGATTCCATCGGCCTAAACCACGCCTTTTACCGCTTAATGGACCCGGAAAGACATGGTTACGAAATTTTGGCCCATGATCCGTCGTCTTAAAAGTTGGTTTTTCGTTTTGCATCATGCAACGGAAATTGAGCATCATGCGTTGCGTGTCGCGGTTAAAGTTGATTATTTCGCCTTGTCCATGCCTTTAATCCACCAAAAATGGTTCGTTTTATGTGGATGGATTCAGAAATTTGGTGAATCCGGACGAAAAAATGGGTAATTGATATAGAACTGAAATTTCCAGAGTTTCATTGGCTACAACCCCCCTTTAAAGAGAAAAGTACCCAATGTAAAATCGCATAAAACAATTTACTAGACGGAAGCCCGTCCGGATCCATCTCCTCTTGACGTACTCCCCAGTTTTACGTGGCATAGCCGCCAAACTTGGCTCGCCAAAATTTTAGACTAGACCTGAATTATGATGGACCTCCTTATCCCTTTAAATGCCGAATGCCATCAAAAAACTGTGCGCAATTTTGCTTTCGGCACTTGGGAACTAATCGAATCTAATTGGCAAATCGCCAATTTTAAGGTTTTGGGGCTTCCAAATCACCTAAAAGTAACAATTTCCGGGGCGAGCTTTGGGCACTAGCCATCACTCGGCCCAAACAGCACGACCAGGGCGCGTCAACTTTTTTCCGCATTCCCCCGTCCTGTACCTGGTTGGGGGGGTAGGGCTCATATCCCTCGAGGGCACATACACACACAGATACACACACACACCCAGAGAGATGGTGGTGGTGGTGGATCGGTGGAGATAGGAATGGAATGGAATGGAAGGGAGAACACAAGAAGGGGGACAGAAGCTCTAAAGGGGAGACAGCTGCCCCCGGTGCTTCTCCCCCATCCCCTGCTCGACCCCGGCGGCCACCACCAAAAAGTCGGCCCTGGCCCCACGGCTCGACTGATTGTGGTCCCGGTGGGGAGATTGTCCCGGGCTTCTCCGGAGGATTTGTTGTGGTTTTGTGGCTACAAATAGGTCTTTAGACAGTTTTTGGTACTGTTTTGCCGGGATCTGTCTTTTTCCCCTCGAGCTCTCTCTCTCTCTCACACGCTCTCTATCTCACTCTCGTTCTCGCACGCAGGCCTTGAACTGTCTCTCTCACTGTCTCTGTCTCTCTGCCTCTCTCCGTCTTCTCTCTCTCCCCCCCTCTCTCTCTCTCTCTCTCTCTCTCTCTCTCTGTCTCTATGTCTCGGTCTCGAGCCCTTGGTCTTTTAAAGGGTGTTAGCAGAGTAGCCGAACTGCTCGAACTCGTCCTTCATTTTGCAAGCGGCCAAACTCGTCTAAAGGCACATAGCGGAAGCAGTAATTTGAGCCGTAAGCTCGGATCAGGAAACTCGGACTTCAAACGACTATAACTTTGTCAAATCGGGTCTACCTTGGAATGGCATCTATAAAATTCTATGAAAGTTACTAGAGGCGTTTCAGGGGCAAGAAGCTTTCAGCGTTATCCCAAACGCCTTCTTGGAGTTGGTAGAGCGGCAATCATAGATTCATAGAAATCAATCAGAGAATTTGTTGCAAAATCAGCTTTAGCACAGTGGGGAAAGAGAGAAGCACCCTTTACATACCAAAAATTGGGCCTCCAAGTAGTATCTCTCTACCACCAACGCCCGCCATCTCAGGTCTCAAAAAACGGGTGTTCCACCCCAAGTAGCTACAACTGTTCTCCTGCTCCTCTTCATCCCCTCTTCCCTTCCACTTTATGAGCTGTTTTCGGAGTGTGAGTGTGTGAGTGTGGCCCCGTATTGATATCTGTGACAGACAGACAAACCCCACGCCGACAAACGAACAGACACATGCCCTGCGGGGCACGAGGAGGAAGGGGGAAGGAAGAACACTTTGTGCAGGAAGTGGATGGAGAGAGAAAGAGAGGGAGAATGAGAGAGAGTGAGCAAGACATCCTGGATCGAGATCCCCCTCCTTTGGTCCACACATACGAGACCCGCTCTCCCCATTACAATTCGATAATTGCTCAACGGGGGGAACGGGGACAGAGGTGGAACGGCCCGAGGGGCACTTCGATTAGGCTGACCGAGGGATCAGAAATTGTACTAATTAAGCTAGGAAACCATGCTGTTCGTTATTTTGAGATCTCTCTCTCTCTCTCTCTCTCTCTCTCTCTCTTTATCTGTTCTTCGTTATCTTCCGCTTTCTGTTTCTCTACCTCGCCATCTCGCTCGACCACTTCCTTTGTGTCTATCTCGCTCGCTCTCACTCGATCTCATGCTCTCTACCTGAATCACTCTCTCTCCCTCTCTCTCTCCCTGCATGTTCCTTAGTCTCTCTCTCTCTCTCTCTCTCTCTCTCTCTCTCTCTCTGGGTCTCTCTGGCTTTCTCACTCTGGTATCGCTGTCCAAAATCCCGATATATAGATCACGTTATGATAAACCGTATTGTACGCACTACGCTACGATACGCCTTGCGACGTTTTTCTAATGCAAATTCTCAATTTTCAGCATTCTATACCCCCCAAATAAACGAATTCAGGCTCAACAAAATCCCCAAAACCCCAAAATTCTGGCTCCAACGGTCGCGCCCCCAGAATGCGACGATGTCTGGGGCGTCTGGGGCTACGCGACGCGTCTCCGGACGAAGAGGAAAGCCGGCTCAACAGTCGGACGGATGGGGCAACGGATGGGAGATTAGATACAAGAAATGATGGCAGTACGCATAGTCGATCAGATCATGACGGACCGACGTCGATGAGTACGGAGAGTCGGGAGGAGGAGTCAAGTCGGTTGAGCCGAAGGAGCTCGGTTTTGGTGGGTTTGTGAGGATTAGATATCCTAGTGCAATTCTTCACTTTTACACTCTGCATGGTAGAGTAGTATCTGAATTAAGTCGTAAAAGTTCATACAAATCAAGAGAAAGATTTTTAGGTGGATCTCCTTGCCCTATTTCGACGATCCTCCAGTTTTCACATCAAATCGCATCGAATTCGAGGCAGCAATGATGAGTAAGTTTTTTGAAGAGAGAGTGAGAGAGAGAGAGAGTGGGAGAGGGTAAGCGAGAGAGATCGAAAAAGGTAAAATAAGGAGGAAAAACCCTTTTGAATTTAGAATGGACGAAGACGGCGATGAGGACGATTCGCACAACATGACCAAGGACAAAATCCTCGAAGCTATTCGCTATAAAAAGGAAATTATCGGGAATTTGAAGAAGCAGCCCTGGAATATGAAGCGGAAAAGGAGAACGTTAATGTGAGGATTCTAAGAATCATCGATTTCTGAAGCGAAAATCCTTAAAAAAAATTGATGTTCAGAGTAGCGCGGCGGCATCTGCAGCGCCAGGAAGCGAAAGTCTCCCGGATACAGCTGTGGAAATCCGAGTTGGGCAGGAGATTCACGCAGTTCAACCGATGGTCTAATAATTTGAAGATATACCTAATACCATGGGAGGCGAAGATTAAGCGCATTGAGAGTAAGTCTATTTGGAGCGTATGGAACGTTGGACTGTCGCTTGACTTACCATTTTTAAAGTCAAGTATTTTACCGATTTCTTTGAGGCCACTACGGCTCCGTGGTCTCCTCCTATTTCACATTCCTGCGGTGGATCCTCGGCATCAACGTGGTGATGTCGATGATCATGGGACTTTTTGTGATTTTTCCAGAGGTCAGTTGCCTTGTCAATCCCTTTAAAATCCGATTATAGTGGCTAGCAGACGCTCGTGCACCAGTCGGAAGTGATCGATACAATCGGACGATGAGTTTGAAGGTTAGTTGTTAAGAAGGGAGAGAGAGAGAGAGAGAGAGAAAGAGAGAGAGAGAGGAAGGCATTGAGAGCATGAAAAAGAATAAAGTCCCTAAACTATGCAACTTAGGTAATGCCAGCCGACGTCAGAAAACACGCTGACGAGCTGATGATGATTTGGGATTTTGGTGTGGGTTTTTCGCGTTTTTTTCACTTAATTCACAAAGTATCTGGTCTCCATAAATCTTTTCTAGGGCTACTTCCAATACTCGCATCTCTTCTACGGGTTTTACTCACGAGAAACGTATTTCGGCGACACGATACAGTACCGCGTGCCGGTGGCGTATTTTCTCGTGAATATCCTGATCCTGGCCTACTCGTTTTTCATCATCTTGCGAAAGTCAGTTTCGCTTTTTAAGCAGGTCTTAAAGGGAATACAAAGTCCAAATGCAGATAATTTTTGCATTTTTCTGAATTAATTAAATAAAAAATAGCCCGTAAAACCAAACTTGCCCTTTTTCAGGATGGCATCAAATTCCCGCACAAGCAAGCTGTCATCCGGAAAAACGGAGCAATACGTGTTTAACTGGAAAAGCTGGACGGGCTGGGATTATACGATCGGAAACGCGGAGACGGCCAGCAACGTGGTTATGGCAAATGTCATCAAATTTCGGGTGGGTAGGGCGAGGCAATGGTATAACCTACCTTTTGAGTATTGATGATATCTCGCGTTCGTGTGGCCATTTTTTCAAATTAGCAAAACGACAGCAAAAAAGAAAAAGGCATTCGCACCGAGTTCGTGGCGTACAGGTTATATTGAAGCATTTGTAAGGCGTTCCTCTTTGAAATGAGTGCGACAGTATAGTTGTTAAACCTAGGATTTCGAATTTTAATCCTCTTAGCCTTAGTCCTTTCCAGGAAGCCATCGCCGAGTTCAACGTCAAGCTGAAAAGCAAGGTCCAATTCCTTCAAATCCTGCAGCGGATCCTGGCCAACCTGTTGATCGTTTCCCTCCTCGTTTTCTCAGGCTGGGCCATCGATGCCGTGTCGAAAATCAAGGAGAAGGACACGTTCATCAAGCAGGTTAGTCTCGGCCCGAAAATTCGTCAAAACTCGAGCTTCTTGAGATGCTATCGATGCTAAATAACGTCAAACCTTCAGAACGCGGTGCCGATTGTCGTGTCGTTTATCACCCTCATCTTCCCCAACGTCTTCGAGATTATCGGCAAGATGGAGAAGTTGCATCCAAGGACGGCATTGCGGTTTCAGCTAGTCAGGTATCTACAAATCTTGATTTTTAATGGATATATGAATTTCAATGAATTTAATAGAAAACGATACGAACACGCTGATTTAATGCCATGATTTCTTAGGGTCTCAGCACTGTACATTGTCAATTTCTACACGTTTTTCTTGTCGCTGCTGGAGTTGTTGACCAAGATTGATGCCGATCGAGATCAATTAAAGGTAGGCGAAAAATTAATGAATTTGTTAATAAATTTTAGGCGAAATACATGGCAAATCTGCAGAATGATCTGGCGAACAGCAAGGCACTCTATCAAGTGGGGCATCGGTAAGGTTACTGACGGTTGTGCTAATTTTTACCAGCTCTCTACGGCATCTCCTCGGTCTCGTCGATCGTCTACCAACAATGATGTCTGCCCTCGCTCCGGGGACTACAGTGGTACGTCACTCATTTTAAACCTTGGTATTTAGAATGTTCAGATGGCCGATTATGGCCCGTTTGCTGTGCAAAGTCCTCGGGCGGCTGTCACCAACAATGGGCAGATGGCCTCGCAGAATGTGACGGTGTTCAGCTACAAGGTGAGCATCGCTTAATTTAATGTAGTTTAGCACTTTCATTCAATTTTTATGTACTATGGGGAAGTATAATGCGCTGTAACCTTCCCTTTAAATCAGCCAATTATCATACTTTTCAGCCGATCGGACCGAGCACCCACTTCAACTACTCGCAAATGGAGCAGATCACCTTCCCAATTGCGGCCACGATGGCCCCGAAAATGGCGTCGTCGTGGACGAATTTGCATGAGGATCTGTGTTGGGAGACGCGTATCGGACAGGTAGGTGGATCTGACTCTCTCTCTCTCTCTCTCTCTCTCTCTCTCTCTCTCTCTCTCTCCCTCTTTCTCTCTCTCTCTCTCTCTCTCTCTCTCTCTCTTTCTCTCTCCCTCTCTCCTTCTCACTCTCGTTTAAAAAGTCAAAACCTTGTTTAGGAGATTTCCAAAGTCGTGACGATGGACTTGTTGATGACGGTGCTCGCTATCCTCGTGATCGATTTCTTTCGAGGGCTTTTTATTCGATATACGAATTTGTGGTGGTGCTGGAATCTGGAGAAGACCTTTGTGAGTTATACGTATAATCGGTTAAATCCAGGAGTATTTGCCATATCTCTCCTTCTCTCTCGCGCTCTCTCTCTCTCTCCCTCTCTCTCGCTCGCCCGCTGCCCCGGAAATTGATAGACAATAAGTGGCTTGTAGTGTGGTGTGTCAGGCTTGAGCATCAGACAAAACAGGTGTCCCCGGAATCAGCATGAGATTGCAAGAGAGAGAGAGAGAGAGCGAGGGAGGCAGAGAGAGAGAGAGAGAGGGGAGAAACAGAGAGAGAGAGAGAGAGAGATAGAGAGAGAGAAACAAAGGAAAAAGCTTCTTCCACCTCCAAAAACATGCCTGCCGGCCGTTTGACAAATTGGCGGCCCTTTAGACCGCCGGCCAGGGCAGAGAGATTCCTGGGAAAACGGGGGGATCCCAATGACGCGTTGCTTTCAGGGGACGGGATCAATGCGGATTGCATTGTAGTTGGAGTGAAGGGAAACAACCGAAAATATGCAATTTAAGGGTTCTACATGGTAAATAGATGTTCTACAGTAGATGGTAAAACGGTTTTTACAGAGCTCCTTAGGTTTTTAATTTTCTTTTTTTTCATTTGGGTTCTTTTCTATAGCTAGCATTTTGAAATACGGGATGATTTTAATGGATAAATAGTTATTTAAAAAGAAGAGGAAGCTTACAAACAGTTTTTGCAGTTTGGTGACAAGAGATCAACGGCTTTTCCCTATCAGTTTGGGTTTACATTAACTTGCAAATTCATAAGTTTCTGCAACTTTTTTAAACATTAAAACTCTGCGATTCCCTGCCATTTCCCTATTTCAAAACATGCCTCCCTGCAGTGCGTGTGGCTGCTGTCTGTGTGCGCTCTGGATGCCCGCTGCCCTTTCCCCACTCGCCCCCCACCTGTTCCACCCCTCCCTCTCAAAAGACCGCCCCTCCCCCATTCCACAAGGTTTATACCCTGTGCTTCGGCACAACTCGGGCCCGGTCCTCGTGACTGGGAAACCGAAATTTTTGGCCAGCCTGCTCGGGGTCAACCGGGCCGGGCGAAAATCATACAAGAAAAGGATGGTAGGTAAATTGCTGCCGGATTGTTTCGTAATTAAATGGGAAGTGGAATCGACTTCAAGGACATGCAAAATTGAAAAAAGAGGAGGCATATTAGCCAACAAAGGAGGCAAAAGGCATAAAAAAATGTCAAATAATCGAGGAGAAATTGCACTAACGCCGGGAATAAACGGCAAAAGTTCAAAAAATTTCTTATATTTATTTAAAAAGTATTAAAATCGTTGCGCAGATAAACTTAATTAAATTAATTTAAAAAGACTGTTGCCCAAATAGCGGCTTAATCAAGGTTCAACCAACTTCAAAAAAAAATAAAAATATGTTTCTTTCAGCCCGAATACGGCGAGTTCAAAGTGGCCGAAAATGTTCTGCACCTCGTCAACAATCAGGGCATGATTTGGCTGGGACTATTTTTCGTACCGATGCTTCCGTTTTTGAATAATCTTAAGGTAAAACATTAAACTACATAAGACTTGATCTACCTTGTTGTTTAAGTATAAAGCCCGTCATTATCATGTTCCAGTTAATAATCATCATGTACATCCGGGCGTGGGCCTGCATGACGTGTAATGTGCCGGCGAGACAGATTTTTCGAGCTTCACGGTATGTTTTTACCGTGTAGTATTATTTTCTATCAAAATTGTTACTATTTAACCTACAGACCCATAGAACAAACTAATTTAAATGATTCAAGATCCAATAAAAATAATTATTAATCAAAAATGGCGTTAATTTTTGTGAAAGGATGGTAGAAAACCTGAATAATTAAGTTTTCGATAACTATTATGTATTTGCGTCTTTTAGATAAGGCTTTAACAAGTTTTAATCATATAATTTTAAACCTTAAAAACTTTAAATACTTTCAGGTCCTCAAATTTCTACCTCTTCCTACTGCTCGTCATGTTATTCATCTGCACGGTACCCGTCGGATACGTGATAGCTTCCAAGGAGCCATCGAAGAATTGCGGGCCTTTCAAGTGGGTGTTTTCGCACTTAGTGTACTACTTATACCTATTTTCACGAATCTGATCATTTCTAAAGCCCTCCCCTCCAGCTCATTTTTTGGGCCAAACTGGGCCCAATCAATCGCTTGAGAGTGGCCCCCGGGAAAGTGCTTGTGACTAGGTGGCTACTGTGCTTTTGACCAGGAAGTGACTTGGGCGGCAGGGGATGAGCAAACTAGAGGGGGTTGAAAGTTAGCAAAACTGACGTAAAATTAAATATTTGGATTTCATATTAGCTGAATAACATATCTCGAAAAATAGGATACCGTTGGTTAGAAACCCAAAAAGTCAATCAAACTTTGGCAAAATATTTGACACATCTGGATTCCGCGATTAGTGTTTAGATGAAACACTCCTATCTAATTGCCTGATTTTTATAAAGTAAGGCACCATCCGATAAAAAACCCAAAAATTAAACAAAAATGATGATTCTGGGCCCTCCATTAGGGCAAAATATTTATATACAAAAATCTATCATAAATCTGACTAAAAATTCTCTAAACAGCAATGTAGCTTCTGATGAGAATATACCAAAAACAATCCGGTGAGTCTCGACTAAAATGTATGGCCCTCCTTGACCTGTCCTTCATGCCATTTGCGGGTCAAGTGGCCCCGCTCCCTTCATAAGCCCCCACCCCTGTCCCTTCCTCGCCGCCCGGTTAGCTCAGTCGGTAGAGCACCAGACTCTTAATCTGGTTGTCGCGGGTTCGAGCCCCGCATTGGGCTTACTTTTTGCTTTTTGCCTGAAAGTTCTAAAAAAGTTAGAGAAACTTCATGGAAGGCTTTTTAGAAACCAGCGCCACTTCTACACCGTAATTTTGGATGTGCTCAACGACAACTTGCCGGGTTCCGTCGTGGAGGCCATCCAATACATGTCATCGCCTGGGATTATTATACCCACTTTGCTGCTTTTACTGTAGGCTACAAGCTACAAGAACCTATCGAAAATGTTTTAGCTTGATCATCTACTTCTTATTCGCGCTTGTGAGAGGACTAAAGGAGGCGAACCATGACTTGACAAAGCAGCTGACACAGGTTTGAAAACCGATATTTTGGAGGCTTATTTCTAGGAACGAACCGAGGAGAAGAAGAAAATCTTCGAATTGGCTGGTGGGCGGAAGCAGAGGGAACAGAAGTTGCTAGAGAGACGGAAGAAGAATCTGGAGAAACGGACGAACGCCATCAAGACGTACAGCTCGGATGAGGAATCGCATCGGATATCAAAGATGTCGAACAATTCGGCCAGGCATTTTGTGCCTTCACTGGGGTGTGTTTTCGTTCCTCTTTCTCTCTCCCTCTCTCTCTCTCTCTCTCGCTGTCACGATTTTTCATTCTCGGTTTCATCCGGTGATTTTGCTTTCTCTTGCTTTCGTTCCTCCCGTTCTCTCGCTCGCTCTCTCTCACTCTCCCGCTCTCTCTCTCTCTCTCTCTCTTTCTCCCACTCGCTTTCCAGGCTAATTTCTTACCTCTTCAGAAGCGTCTCCGAAGTCGACGGCACCGACGGCGAGGACGAGTTTGAAAAGGAAGAACAACGAGAAGAAGCCGCCGCCCAACCCGTGAAACTCACCTGGAAACAGAACTTCCTCGTCTGCATCGGACTGGCCGACAGGAGGGAGTACGCCCGGAGACCCATATTGTAACCAATTTTAGTTATTTAGTTGTCAGTAACCAGATATCACTCACTTACTAATTGTGACAGGATCGACTAAAAACAAGTGCTATCGTTAAGCTATGATCCGAGGACTGACGATGAGGAGGAAGAGGATGAAGACCGGGACATTGAAGCACAAAATCGGCATTCTGGGTTTTATACGTCCCCTGATGAGGACCAGCATGATATTGAGAATTCGTAAGTTTAAGTATTTTTTTAAATGATGCTTTTCAAAGAAGAATTTTAGGCAATTTTTCAGGGATGCTTATACCATTATCGAATTTTAGTGATGGTGAGCGTCGAAATCTGCTCCACCCAGGAAATGTACGTCACCTCGGCTGTTGGAAGCAAAAGATCACCGTCGCATTCTGGATCAAAGTAAGCGAGAGAACTAGATAAAGGGGAGCGAGAGGGAGAGAGAAAGAGAGAAAGAGAGAGAGAGAGCGATTTGATTAATAAGGCAAATTTTAGATCTCCAAGACATTCCCCAAGGACGTCAAGATCGCCTCGGCACTCAAGATCACCTAGGAATGGATCCAACATCGGGGAAGAAGATGACTATAGGTAAAAAACCGATATTACAGATGTTGACTCGAAGAAAATACTACAAAGCTTAATTACGCGAGGAAAAGCTTTACGAGGCTAGTTAGCAGGGTTTTTTGGAGAACTTTTCAAACTTTCCATTGTATCGTATCGTAAGTGACGTAACTTATCGTATCGCTGCTGATCGCATTGTAGCGTAGCATAGCTCATCCTGCCCAATACAATTTCCTGTAGCGCTCGTGACGAGTCATACAAGACAGCTTCTCGCGGCTCTTCCAGACTTCGCGATCTGCAACAACAGGACGACAGCTCGGACAGGTACTTGCTACCTCATGAAAGTCAAGGTACCATTTCTTTCAGAAGCTCGACGCCAAACTCGAGCGGCCGCGACTTGACAACACCCACTGTCGATCCGGCTTTGGCGTTTAGGAGCAAAGCGTTAGGATGACCCTTGTTTTGTAACGCAAATTTCAGCTCCTCCAAGCCTCGGCTGATCGAAAACCCAGCGTTTGGATGTGATTTGCATAACTACCGAATTCCGGAGGATGTCGATCGGCAGTCAAGGAGGTAGGAAAACTTTGTAACGACTGATAAAACCATTTTTGGTTTAGAAAACGAGTCAACACATTTTTCCAAAGATATTAGTCCATAAAAAATCGATAGCTATGATCTTTTTTCAGCTCCGGTAGCTCCTCTGTCTCGCAGTCCCATTCACTACCACCCGGGGTGGAGATTCGGGAAGTCGCGCCACAACCGTCATCTTCAAGACGTTCATCAAGGTCTTCGAATAGCTATGGGAGGGCGGCAACTTCACTTTTGGAGCCGGTGCTGGCAAATGCGAGGAGAATGTAAGCTTGAAAAATAAGTGGCAATTTTCGAGAAAGAGAGAGAGAAAGAGAGAGTGAGAAAGAGAGAGAGACTCTAAAATTCCCCCATGTTTCAGCAGTAATGAGGACTACTCCCCATCTCCAAGTAGACACACCGATTTCCAAAGTTTCGATGAGCCATCCCCTAGTGCTGATCTGCTCCAAAATTCACCGCTGGCGCAGTTGTATGCGAATCCGCACAACAGCTACACTTCGGCGATGATGAGCCCGATAATGGCTGACTACTCTCTGTTTGGCGGCGCTACTACGGAAGAAAGTGAATCGAACGACGAGCATACGCATCTATTGCCGATGACGTACGTATTACGCCTCTTTATATATCGTAAC